TAATTATCCAGGATTCTTTGAATTTGACCGAAATTCAACAATATGCTTTGAGTGGATTTCCTGAATTAAAAGAATTTAAGTTAGATGGATGTCGAAAGCTGCAAAAATTTAGTGAATTTGCATTTGGCAGAGACGTGCTGAACTCAAAATTGGAAACCCTCACCATGTCTGGAACATACTTAAGTTCTTTGGGCATTAAATTGAAACCGGTGTTTGAGAACTTAACAACGTGGGTATAAATGTTAAAATTTTATGATAATAAAGTTATACATATATATATATATATATATATATTTTCTTCAGGGGCGTAGCGTGCCTTGGCGGGGCCCCGTATCAAAATTTGTTTGGGGGCCCCCTTAAGAAGAAATTTTTTTTCACAAACTATATAAATACATAATATTAAAATAATATTTACTTATCATTCTAATTATTTATCTATCTAATTTTCTCTAATTTTCTGAATTTTTCAAAAATGATTCCAGATAAATTTTCACTTACATTTTTTATCTTTAAATTTTATAAAGTTTCTGCCTCTAGGAACATACATGTCTGGTAGACATTCATGTCCTAAAGTATTTAGATAATTTTTAATTAGTTTTAATTTAAAAGAGAAAGTTTTAGCATTAGCGATTTTAAGTGTAAATTGTAATTAAGGGCCAAGAAAAAATGCATACTGTTATTTCGTTGGGAAAACTGGATGTTAGCCTATTGCACCCATCATTGTACCTTAATAAAATAAATTTCTTAGATTTCTGTATTCCCGTCTATTTCTAAAACTATCAATTGGTCATGCTCATATGAGATATTTTACAATATTTCTTTACAGTAATTCAGTCGACAGTTTTCCGGGACGTTTATTAATTCTCGATTTCAAAAAGACAAATGTTACTACTTACGTCGCAAAGGTTTTGAAATCTTTGTTTGGTTTGTGAAATTAATGTATTCAAGCAGCAATAGTATACATTAAAATAAGATTTCGGATCTAAAATTCTCTCATCTTGTAATAATAATGCTTCATTATCTTTGTGCTTCTTCAACAAACTCTTTCAATAAATTTTCATATGTCAATTCGCACAGTCTATTCAAAAGATTACTTAATAAAATACTAGTTTTTTGTAAGTCATTACTGGCATGTTGTAAAGTTTCAGAACAGAAACTTATATTTTTAAACAGTAAAGAAAAAAACCTGAAAATGATTTAGTTTATCATATTTATCAAAATCTAACTATTAGACTGACGCGACATGCAGACAATTCAAGTAGTAACTAGCTGTAAGTGGAATTCTGTCTTGAGGCATTTATGGCATCGTGCCTTAAGGCAAATTGCTGGAACTTCCCGTACCGAAATGTTCGAGGAATATTGAATGTTTTCAAATAGATTATTATAAATATTGTAACATTGTCTAATATTTATGAGAATTATATAAACTGAATTGCAGAGTTGAAAATATTTGTAAAGTATATTAGAACTATAGCCAGAATTAAAAATAAAATCTGAAATATTTTTGATAAAACTAAAAAAAAAAAAAAAAAAAAAAAAATCAAAAAAAATTTTTTTTCCAAAATCAATTATTTTGTTAAGACAAGCAGAAAGTTCTTTGAATCATTTAAATCGGACGCTTAGTTCTCTCAAAAACTGCCATTTTTTACATATTTAGCTCCATATCTTCGAAATGGCTGGGCCTGCCTTTGCCAAAAACTAATAAGCACTTCTCCCAATCATTACTAATTGAATGCTTTTTAGATCATTCAAATCAGATACTCCGTTCTCTCAAAAATTCGATTTCTATTTTCTGCACTCTTTGCTCCGTATCTCCGAAACGGCTGGACCTGCCTTTGCCAAAAACTAATCAGCTCTTTTCCCTATCAATAGGAATCGAATGTTTTTTGAACCATTCAAATCGGTTGATCCGTGCGCCCTAAAACGTGACTGGAAATTTGTATCCATACATACATACACACACACACACACACACACACACACACACACACACACACACACACATCCATTTTTTCTTAGGTATGCCAAAACGTTCAAAAACCTTCAAAACGTCGAGAAATGTTAAAATTTTCAATTCCGATTTTCGGCCCATTACAATAACTTACCCTACGGGAAGTTAACAAAAACAAATAGAAAACGATATATATATATAGTTATAAAAATGCCAAATTCCAATTTTTGATGAAGAATGTATAAACTGGATTAGTTTTATAGATTATTTAACAAGAATATTAACTTATCGGATGTGCAACAGCTTTACTAATTGAATTGATTGCTAGAGCTTGCAGAAATATTGCAGCAGAAACAAATTCTCTTAAAGAGTTAGCTTACAAGTTGAAGTTCAATACCTCTCGATAAAAAAGGAAAATGCAAACTACGTTAAAATTTTTAAATTTTTTGGAAAATTGTAGTTTTGCTTACTGCTTGTGCTCGTTGGGGGCCCGTTTGGCTCGGGAGCCCCGTATTTTTGATACGGCGGTAGTTACGCCCCAGAAAGTTATATATATATATTTCTTATTACCAGGTTTGATTTATCAGGAGCCCCTTGGTACTGTAATTGTTCTGCATCCTGGTTGATTCCTCTCGTCAAAGAAACTCTCCAATGTGCCTCACCATCTGCAGTTAGTGGTTATCCTTTATCAGAATTGGATTCTGGTGATCTCCTTTGTGCACCAGAAGGACCTTATGGCAGTACTGAGACTATTGTGGCAGTTCTGGTGTCTTTTGGATCCTTACTGATGTCTGTGATTGCTATATACCTAATTTGCCAAGGTGCAAAAATATCGAGACGAGTGTTTCTGCAGAAGTCACCAGGAACACCTGGAGCTGGATCTCCTTACGGACGTGTTACTGTTGAGCCGAATAATGCTGAACAAATTAACGTGTAATGGAATGAAAAATTTATTTATAAATTTTGTATACTTTTATAATAATGTCACTTACAGAAGTTGATAATAGTCTGTGTTTTTTTCATATTATCTTCTATATATATAAAAATAAGTCGGGTTTTCCTTCCTGACGAAATAACTCCAGAACGCACGAACCAATTTCGACAATTGTGCATTCGTTGGAAAGGTCTCGGGCTCTGCAAGGTTTATAGCTAGGAAAATTAGTTGTGCATGGCATCGTGCCTTAATGCAAGCTTCTGGAACTTTACGCACCGTAATTAAAAATTCGAGTAATGACATTAGTGAAAATTATCAGAATTATGCTTGGTTAAGTCAACGAGCAATTCTTGTCGCAGAGAATAATGATGTACACGCACTGCATTTCACCATTCAATCAAAAATTGCTAGCGATTTGGTGACATACCAATGATTCCGACTGGTCTTCCGTTTGACTTCAAACGATTGCAATTTCCAGTTCGCCTTGCTTTCGCAATAACAAGTCTCAAGGCCAATTGCTTAGTGTTTGCGGGATAAATTTCAAATAGGTTATTTAGAAAATCATTGTTTTTCACATGGGCAGTTATACGTTGCCTGTTCACGAGTTCGGAAACCATCCGCTTTGTTTGTGTTAACGTCAGACAAAAAAACAAAAAATGTGGTTTACCAAAGAGTACTTCAATGAAACGGATAATTTACGGATTCACTTTCATTTACTTAGAGAAGTTCAACTGAAAAACACTTCATTTTTGTAATCGAAATAAATTCATTACTGTTGTATAATAAAATCAAATTTTTCCTTTTCAAATATAAAACAAACAAAAAATTTCTTCAGCTTTCTCACGAAACCATCTGGTGGCGAAACACAGTTTGTCGGGTTTGGTAGTAATTTATAAATTATTCCCGTGGCATATTTCTTTCAATTTCAACACAATTTTTTTTTATCAACGATTGAAAAATTCACCGAAAATGGTATGAGTACAATTCGGATTCAATGGAACGGCGCATACGTTTTGTATTACTTCACCATAATAAAACTTTTTGATTTGTATTCCATGCATGTTGCACATGCATAAGACAATAAAAACTGCTTCTTCCTGTTTTCAATTCAATAATGCCGCCGTTAAAGTCATATGTAACTAAATATATATACATATACTAGATGACCCGACAGACTTTGTTCTGTACCCACGTCTACAATTCAAAAGTTCCAATTTTTTGAATATCGTATCCCATTCCTTTTAATATCCTATTTGATGCCTTTGTGATTCATTTATAGTCTTAGCGTAAGCAGTATAAAAAAATTCAGAAAAAAATAATATAGTATCTGCGGCAAAAGAACAATATCACACTTGATTTTATCACAAAACATAATTGCTTCAATAATTTGGTCTATAATTTTCATAATTTCGTACGATATATTAGTTGCTTTTTGGCAATTATAATTTCTAAAGTACATTTTTCTTACTAATAATTTAATAAACATTATTTTGAGTTATCTAACTGTTACCTATCTAACTGAAAAGGAGTGCTTTACCTTGATATTTATGAGTAATTTGACAAAAACCAAAAAAATGTTCCAAATTTTCTATTGAATGCTGAAGAAAATAAAAGGTCGAATTCAAAGTCGTTTTATTCCAATCTTTTATATAGGAGTGTATATAACTGTTGGCATGGAATTGTAGTAAATTTTATCTTTTTTCTTCCTATTAAAACTATTTTATGTTAGATGTAGTACTAAACTTACCAACTAATTTTATTAAGGGGTCTGTTTAATTAAGATATTGCATAATAGTTCTTATTATATATATAAAAAAATATTTTTAATTATAGTTTTAGATTAATTATGTTAATTATTACCTTTGTTAAAAATAATCCACGGATAGCATTTTAAACGGATTTTTTTTAGTGTAAAGAACTATTTCCGTTTATCGGGCGAACTATAACGAAGTTCGTTTAGTTTTCTTTTGTTTAACGGATTTTTTGAAAATTTAACGGCCGTTTCATCGTATGGCCGAACTATAACGAAGTTAGCTACTTTAGAACTGTCAAAATGTCAACTATTACTTGACATGGCAACACTTAACGTCAAGTGCACGTGTTTTTGTTGTTAATGTTGAATTTTAAAGTTATAAATAAATTATATGTGTGACTACTTATGCATTATTATTAGAAACATTGTTTCTATCTAGCTTTAATTTTTTATCACTTATTATTCTAGTTCGAATAGTTGTGATTCATTTGAAATGGCTTTAGCAATAGGTAAGTCTTACTGTGGTTTTATAGGTTATGTTATCTTTCTGTCTTTTAAAACTACAATTTTTTATAAAACAAATTATGAAATCCCATGTATTTCCTTCTACTTTTACCTCTTTTTTCATTTAGAATTAAAACGTCGCCTGGACGATAATGATTCACCATTATGCAAAAGAATTCGGATGGCTGAGGATATATTTAAATCAAACAATTTCCCATTAACATCTCACAGAAATATTACATTAAATTGGCTCTGCAATTTGGCCGATAATAGTATAGATGATTTTTTGTGGATAGAATCTATTAAAAAGTGTTTTGGTACATCATTTGCATATGCTGATTTAGATAACTCGCTCATAGAAAATTTAATCAAGGTATACATATTAAAATTTGTTTTACTGTAATGGTTTTATTTAATAATTGTTGTTTTGTAGATACTTTTAAATAAATTAGAATCACAGTCTTTGGAAATAGTTGATGGCTTGATTAGCGTAATTGATAATACTTCAGTACAAAAATATTTTGTATCAAATTTACCATTGTGGAACAAGGTTATTGTAAAGTTAATAAAAACTAGTGAAGCTTGCACAAATACAAATAATCAAAGAAGTGAAATTTCATTGTATGTAAATAAGATTATTGCATATTTAATCAATCTTCATAAAATTGCTTTGGATCAAGATATTTATTATGAAAATGTTTTAAAAGGAGCTCTTGTGAATTTAATTTTGCTTCTTGATAAAATAGAGGATGAGGATTTGAACAGCAAATGTGTAGAATTAATTCAAACTTGTGTTTTTACTAAAGATAGTACAAAATTTATTGAACACTTCATGGACATATTCGATCATTTGAAGGCAAAAGAGTGTTCAGAACTTGCATTCAAAATTTTATGTATTGCTTATATTAAAGCCTACAAAGAAAGCTCAAATATTATTAAATTGTTCAAAAGTATTATTGAATGCAACAAGAACAACAAATTTTATCCATGCATACTCATGGATATTTTCAAAATTGAGGATGTTTCTTTAGAAATTGAAGATAATGGTGAAACCTTAATGTCATATCTTCAAAAATATTCAATGGAAATTTTATCTAGTTCTAATAATTCAGATAAATTCATGTTTGCGTTTTTGAATTCAGCAATATTATTAAATCCATTAATCATTGAACCGCAACTGAAACAGTTCTTAATCAAATCTATGTTGATGAAGAAAGAAAGTAACGAGGGTCTACTTGAATTTTCAACATTTCTCAAGCATGTGGTTCAAACTTTATCAAAATTGAATAGAGTTCATAAATTACCCTTGTTATTGCTTAATGATCTTGATGCAGCGATACAAGTAGAATGTGCTTCCAATGAGAATGTTAAATCGGATTATCATATTGAACAAATTTGGCCTCTTGAGGTTGCAGAGCACTGGGGTAATTCAATGGAAGGTTTAAATGCCAGCATTACATGGAACACATTACAAAGTCTCCTGTATACTCTTGATAATAAGGGAATACTAAATAGCAAAGATGATACTAATAGTAATATGAAATGCATTATAAACTTATTCTTAAATACTATACTTAAATTTATTATTTACTATGTTTAAATATTTTAGTTTTTGGTGCCTCTGTAATGACACAAGTAATCTTGCGTTTTATTACCAGTTTTTTAAAGAACTGTAAATTGCCATTGATGTCCAAAGAAAATTATACAAAATTGTGGGATCATAGTAAAAAATCTTGTGAAATTCTGGCTAAAGTTGCTCTTATCATTGTTAAAGAAAAGGTTGGTGAGAACTCTCAATTTTAATTAAATTATTTCATAAATAATTGTTTTACCTTTATTATAGTTACAAGGTTTGTTGGTGCATTGGCTTGAAACTGTATACATAGTTGGTGAATTTATAATAATGCTAAAATATTATTGGAATTGCATGGACACACAATTGCAACTACAACTGATCGAACAATATTTCAATGAAAAACATTGGAACAAATTATGTAAATTAGTTAAAGAAAGTGATTGCACAAAATCAAAAGACTACTTGGTATGGTTCTAGGTTTTATATTTGGATTGGATTGGAATTTAATTTTTTTTTTTGTTTCAGAATAATATACATCTACAAAAGTTACGGTACAAAATGATGATACACAGTTTAAGTAATAATAAGCATGACCTAAAGGAAGAACTAAAAGTAGTCTACAACAATTGGGAAAATATTTTGAATTCAAAACTTATATTCAAATCCTTACTACCCTTAATGACACAGGCTCAAGTTATAGAATTAGTTAACAATTCTATCCATGATATAGTTAAACCAAATAATTTGCACATATTACAATCAGATTATATACAAGAAAACAATAATTTTATCTCAGTAACTTTATATAGCATATTTCATGAAATTGCTAAATTGTTATCAAAATCACTGAAAATAGTCGAAGATTTTAATATTTCAGAGATATTAGATGATAAACAAAAGTTTTTGATTTCCATTGGTGAAACTTTAGAACAAGATTTTGTAGTGGAGTCTCCAATTGTTGATGTAGCATCCCTTGAAATTTATTTAAAAGCACTTGTAGCATTGAACTTGCAATTTTTAGACAATACAACAAAATGCAGTATATATTTTTTTATAATTTCTGTTTTTGCGTATTTGAATGAAGTTAATAAATTAGTAAATGATGATAGTAATTATCAAGGACTTGTTGAAGGGTGTCGGAGCACTTGTGGAGTAATATTAGCAAGTGAGTTAATTCAAACATATAACTTAACTTTGTTTATTATTATTTTTTTATTTGATATAATACATATTCATTCTGTATTTCAGTCAGACAATACACATAAATGTACTTTTTTTAATCATTTCTTTATACTATTTTTTATTATTTTTTTAAAATTTATTTGCTTGTTTGATATAATTAATGCATACCTTATTTCAGTCAGACAATTCGTACTCATAAATTTACGTTTTTATTTATTATTTTTTTAATCAATTTATTAATTTTATAAAATTATTAAAATCATGAACTACTTACTATGCACATTTTCATATTTTTTACACAGTTTACTCAGTTTTAATATAATAAATATCAAGTTAAAACCGTAGACTATTATCTATGATTTTTTATTTATTTATATCACTGTATTATTTGTTATAATTCATACATATTATATCTCAATCAGATAATTATTCTGGTATGAGAGATTTATGACAAAAATAAATTCTAATTTTGCCTCCAACTTACATTGTAATTTACTTATCAATTTATATGCAATTTTAGATGTTTTAGAAAGTGGAACAAGTTTCAATGTTGATGATTACATATCTTCCACCGTTTATTTAAAGATATCTTCCTGGATATCAAAAACAGAACTTATCCAGCCGGTCATAGAAATGTCAATGAAAGAAAATGCTAATATAATTCCTAAGCTTAATAAAGTTGTGAAGAAAATTCACAAAAATTATCAAAGTTTACCTGACGACAGCATTCCAAGTAAATTACATGAATTACTTATTGTTCCTACTATTTGTCTCACTCTTTCAACCAAGGTAAAAAAATAAATTATAATATTTATTTGCATTTATTAATTCTTTTATATTTATATTATATTAAATATTTTTACAGATGAAAAAGTTGCATAAAGAACAACGTGCTTTGGTTACAAAATTAAGAAACAAATGTGTCGATATTGTCCACAATATAATTACAAAATATTCTAGTAATGCATCATTAGTGTCTCTAGAAATTCTTTTACCCAGTTATAATCAATTATTACAATTATGGATTAATAATATCGAAGCTAGAGATAACATTAAAGATATTGTAACAATTTTACCTATTTATTTAAAATACTCTGTAAGTAACTGAATTTATTTGTTTACATTAATAGTTTATCACAAGTATTATTATTATTATTATTAATTTTAGATGGACACTATACAAATAAAAAGTAAGGGTGATGCACACTCCTTTATTATGCTTGTTACAAGAAATCAAAAACATTTTATGGACAATTTGCCTGAAAATTTTGTTTTGGACTTATGGGACATATATTACAAAATTAATTGTAATATTCAGAATATTTCTTCTACCGAAACTGTTCTTGCTTTGTTAGAAAGTTGTGATGATAAACAATTTGAGGAAATCATTTTAAAATTGAATGACAATACTGTGAGTTGTGTTATCAGACAGATTTTGAATAATTTATCAAAATGCATTTTGAAATTTATTATTTTAATAAAAAAAACTTGTAGATAAAATCTATGGAGTGCGAAAAAGACTTCCCAAACAGTATAAACCTGTGGGTAAATATTACAGAAGCAATGTTAAGTGGAAACAAGACTAAATTACGACTTGAAATATTAACAAAATTATGTCAAGATCTTTTGGCATTGATTACAAAAGGCCATTACACAAATGGAACAAATACTCTAGTTATAATGAAATTCTTCTTAACAATTACAAAAAATCCTTGGTAATTGTTTTATAACAATTTGTTATGAAATAATTTAATTCCAAATAATTTTAATTATTTAATTTCAGCTTCAAATTAACGTATTAGTGATTGAATCAATTTTAAGTGCTGTTTTCCTAACACCTTTTGATGATTTATCAACATTCGGAGTGGATCTGTTTAAAACTTGTTCTGAAATTGTGAACTTTACTTTGCTTAAAAGAACAGCATTGATATTAGACAGACTCCCTGTGGTAATATATGGAATACGTTATTTAATTAAAATCTTGGCACGGTGGTCTGCTTCAAAAGAATCCGATAGTGTGGAAAAAGATAGTTTCCAAAGTGTACTAGCAGATCTTGGGCACTCTATAGAAAGTATGTACATATTCATATATTATAATAATCTTTATTTAAGTGTATTGTATGTTTTTTTTTTTTATTTTTAGGGTTTTTTACTTTTTACTTCGCTCATAAAGTTAAAACGCAATTTATCAAGCCTGCTTACTTGATGCACGATGTAATAGTTGAACTTTCTTCTTACACTTTAACAAATGAAATTAAGCAATCCTTACTGAATTGCTGTTATCAAAATACATAGCCTATGCGACTCTCATGCACTCAAATATTTGAATACTGTATCTAGTGTTGCTAATAGAGAAATATTCAAAAATATTCATGAAACCTATAATAAATTTCATATGTTCAAAGGTAAAATATAACTTTTATGTATAATAAAGATTATATGAAAATTGAATTGAATTTTATTATATTATTTTACAAAACTGAAACTCCAGGTATTAGATTCAAATTTTCATCGATTTATTCATGTAACAATGATAATTTGACCTTATTAACAATATCAATATGCAATTCAATCTAAATTTAAACAAATTAGGTCTCCTTATTAATACATTATTTCAGTCGTTAACAATCTCATAGTAAGCAACGCATATTTGAAAATATATATGCTACTTGCTATAGCTGCTGTATGATCTTTTTTTTTAACATCACAAATTGTGTAATTGAATTAATGTTTTATATTAAGTACAATAGAGACTATTACATTATTGTGTTTCATACTTTAAAAAAAGGGTACTTGAAACAATATAGTTTTTAAAAGAAACAAAGTTCTTATGTAGTTCCACAGTCTTGTTGATTTAATAATAAAATAAAGAAAATCCTGTATTAATATTGTGCATATCAAATTGAAATTAGGTTATACATAGGCATCTACAAAAATATAATACTGTAATAATTTGCTTATCAACACAATTTCCAATATAATAATGAAAAATACATCAAAAATTAAAATAAAAAACAAACTAAACTTTTTAATCTCATGCTATACTATATATTGATCAATGAAAGAATTATCAAACAAATATAAAACTAGTTAATTAAATAAATGCACTTTAAGTATGTTTGTCATGATTTTATTCTATTCTAGTTCATGAGTGCAGCTATTTAGATTACTATATACAAAAACAAGATAATGTAAGCTGCATGTGTTTCCATGTTCGTTTATGATTATAATTTCTATATAATTTACATTAGTCTTAATGCTTTCTAAAATTTAGGGGAAGAACTTTTAAAAAATGATGAACAATATCTAAAGGATTTAATTCCTTTCCAATATTGCAATCCTAAACATTTCCAAACTCAACAACTGGCCTGGTAAATTAATCCTAAGATTTAATGTTAAATGTTATTTAAGCCACATATTTAACATTACATTATCACAATATTCCAATAATATAAACATTATCATTTACTGAATATTCTATCAAAGTCAAATTATGAAATAAAAGTGAGTAGTAGTAAATAAAATAAAATAAGAACCTATTTAAGGTTTGTGATTCCTTTCTAGGACTGAAGTTTATCAGTCTCATCAGCTGCATGATTCGATTTTTCCATTAAAAAACATAGCTTCTTCGTAGCTAGGAGGTGGCGCTTCACTGCTTGTGCCTGTGGTGCTAGAGGAGTCACCAGCGCTTCGTAAGAAGGTGGTAATGTGGCTGTAGATGCACTTCGAGCAGCCAATCCTCCGGAATAGGCTTGCTCTGCTTGTGCTGCTGCCAAATCCTAATAGAAAAATATAATTATATGTAGTATGATAAGTATGCCATTATGGAAAATAGATCTCGAAATACAAAGATATACTTTCTAAGGTAAAATCTTTTCAAATAATGAATCTGAAATTGCAATATTGTATATTATGTAGTATTTACCCGAAATATAGCCCTCTGATGTAAAAGCATTTGTATTACACTCTTTCTTCTTAAGTAGAGCATACTTTTAACGGCAACCATCAATCCAGAACACATAATATAGGTCCTACTAACCACATATGTCCCAAGTGAAAATATGTAACCATCTGCATCACCTAAAGCTAAAACTGTAATTACACTTCCCACTGAAAAAAGCACCATGGATAAAGCGAAATATGAATAACTAGTGCAATCACAACGACCAAATCTTGGTCTTCATCATAGTCTAAATCTCGTTGTCTTAAGCGATGCAGTCTTTGGGTTAAAAATGGGCTATTAAAAAACAGTTGCCATGATAATTGATTTAGTCCCGACAATAATTCAAGTTCCAAATGTTTATATTAGCTTTTGAAACACTCAGCTATAGCCCATAGCATAATAGTTAGCCACATCACTTGAGAACAATACTTCGAAATCTGGAATTTTATTTGTAATATCATAATTACACAGCCGACGTAAAGTCGTGGGTACCGAAAAGTTATTAGGTATTGCATTTGGCTTTTAAGCCTTGATAAATATGAAACGTAAACATTAGCATTTGTTCTTTAACTTTTGTATTTTTGTCGTGCAATGAAAGATGCACTTCAACGCCACAATCTGTCAACAGTCTAACTAACTATTATTAATGCCAGCCTGTGATTGGTCGGAATTGGAGTGTAATTTGTGAACGACCAATCACGTTCTATTCTGTACGTACTAATTCAGACTGTGCAGCAATATGGCTGTCAGTA